GATGAGGATCCCATAACTCATTTCGGGGGCCCTTATTAGCGGCCAATCGTATACAACCTACAATAATCTCGTTTAACGAATAACTGCCAACTCGGTAATTTGTTGTTTGAATAATAAACACTTGGGCACTATTGTTCTCAATTAGTTGGCAGTTCAACTTGCCCGTTCGTTTCGAATATAATGGAGGTAATTTTGATCGCGGACCGTTCATTATGGATTTTATAAATACATTATATTATAGAATCTTTCAGGGGAGAAAGAGAGAGAGAGAATAAAGCTATACAATGGACTTATCGATTGCTAACTCTAAACTCCTTCAGACAGCATTACCTAATCAATTTATACAATTTTAAAGTATTAACGATATGATATCAACTTTTGAATTCTTTCTTAGTCAATAATAAGAAAAACTACTATGGAACTCTAATAAGATACTAAAATTTTTAAAATCTGTGTAATATTTTATGATTACTTTTTCTACACTACCTTGGTAAATATAAGTAACACATAAATCCAGTAATAGACCTCCCATTTCAACCTCTGTTGTCAATTTAAGTTAATCTTGCCGATGACACATGTATCCTATCAGTAAATAATAAAACATAATTTGCATCCCAAATGTTCCAATCACACATCACAAACCTTGAAGAATTGTGTCAAAATTGGAGAATTAAAATAAATTTGAATAAATCCCACCAAATTACCATTACCCTTTGTCGAAAACCTATGACTTCTTGTCCTACAGTTTCCTTTAACAATACTCCACTTATCCCTGTTTAACAAATCCGCTACCTGAACAAACGTCTACCTTGGAATCCTCATACCAGCCTGAAATGACAAGAAATCGTTCGACGTTTCCGATTACTTCAGCACTTACTAGACAAACGCTCTAAACTTCCAATTAATTACAAAAGACATATACATGACTATAATAAGTCCTGTTTGGACTTACAGAGTTGAGCTATAAGGCTTCACTAAACCATCGAATTCCCCCGATGCTCGAATGCTCCCTACTTTGTTACAAATAAAACCATCCATAATGACCTTAATGTTTCTTATGTTTCAGATCTGGCGCAATCCAGGCACCTGTCCTTCCATGATTAACTTCAGAATCATCCCAATACCCTCGTTTCCAACCTTGCTTCCTCTTCGATTCCTGATAACCTTCCGAGGTGTCTGAAAAGAAGATGACTCCTTGATCTCCTAATGTAGACATATCATTAGAGTGATACCATTGGGTAGTTTCTCAAAAAGTGTTTTCACGTCATTATATCCATATGTTCAAATTTAATAAATGTAATTCCTTAATACAGTTGTACATATCATTAAGAAAAAAAAAGAAAGTTAATCTTATTTGATTAAATCGTGTTAAGATCATTGGTTGCGCCATATGTTTTAAGCGATTATCTACATCAATATTTATGGTTTTGATTTTTTTTTTCTGTTGGCATTAAAGACCAGTTGACCATCCCTCTCTATCTTGCTCTATTTCTTTCCAGTTACCTGAATGCAGCTCTATTACATCTTTGATGATTCGATCTATCCATCTGTTTTTTGGCCAGGTGATGTATTGCCTGCTATTGAGGCATTCATTGTTGTGTAGAGGCTTCCTGATGGATTGCTTCAACCTACATGGCCCGCCCATCTTAACCTCCTCTGCTTCATATCATTAATATAGATAAATTTTTAACAAGTGATATTTATTCACTAAAAAATTATTAAATATAAGTATCATCAAAGAAATCATATTGCGAAAGCTGGTAAGAGCGAAAACTTAAATTATTCATGGATTGGAATAAACCGCATATATTTTATAAACTAAATTTTCCATTCGATGTGTTTCATTCTTGAAACAAATATTTATTATTTAAATAGCGTTTCTGAATTAGATTTTTTATTTTTTTAGCCGCTTTAACGACGTTCTTCATGATTGTAAGTTATAATAAACTCACTACTTTGAACTTCATACTCTGATGAGTGTCTGTGCAAGTTCCAACGTTGTACTTCGCCTTCAGTGTGTAGCTCAGTACAAATGCACTTCGAAGCAATTATTAAAGTTATTCATTACAAATTTGTATTTCTTCTCCTAATGAATTAAGATTTATAAATATCTGAGAAACAAACACAGAAATCTTTAGTAGAATATTGAAAGTGTTCTGGCAGAATTAAAGTGTTTGAAACGCAGATGTCTTAACAATTTCCAATAAGGTACTGATGGAGCTGCGATTTTAAAATAAATTATACAACCAGTTAAATTATTAAATTACTAATCGGCGCATACGCACATAAACATGCATTTTTAACTAGATCGCTCTATGACGTATTAGATTAAAAATATATATATATTTCATTGTACCTTTGTAAATAGACTGAGCTTTTGATGCATTGATTCTAAAATGGTATTGTAGATTCAGCCCAAGGAGCTAAAGATGGCATTGATGCGTCGGACATTAAAAATGTGATTTTTTATCATTAATTATCAAACCTATTATTATATAATAGAATAGAAAATGAAACTTTATTCTGGGACTAAGTCCCCTTAGAATAACAAAGATGAATTAATACATAATAAAATACAAATCTGGCCAAAAACTAACTTATAAAAATTCTAACATAATATACAGTTAATTTCTATAACAGTAATATTCTAACATTATATTGTTGTTTATTATTTTTATTTACTGTGCATAGTATGAATGAACTACTCCTTATCACTATTACTATTGTCCTTGAATGTTACGGATTGTAATATATCTCAATAAAGAAATTTCCTTAAAAAAAAAAAAAAAAAAAAAAAAATTCTTTACAATGACCGTGCGGAATGTTATAAACTAATCGATAGTAACAATAAAATATTAACTGAATCAAACGATTAACGAAAATATCACGAAGCCAACATTTTAGATTTTCTAATAAAAAATTATTAAAAATTAAAATTAAATTAAAATAAAAAAAAATAATAAAAATTAGCCAACATTTAACAAAAAGAATTCAACATTTTATTTCAAGATTTATTTAATTATTATAAGGAGGATAAATCAAAACATTATTAAGCCCTTCTCAGTTGCTAAGGGCAAGATTCCTTTTTTAAAATATTTTATATTCATGTTTCAGTTTATTTTATTTAATATGGTTAAAAATCTCATAAGAAAGACTCATTTTTCAACAGGTTCCATAAGATTTTTTTTAAATCATAATTTTACTCTTCATTTTTTTTTGGAGGTTATGGGATAAAGGCAATGTTTTAAACGTTTTTACTAATGTTCGTTTCAATATTTTTATTTAGCCTATCAAGGGTTTTCATTATTATTCGAACCTGTTTTAGAGATTTTACCTTAACAATTTAAACTTTTTAATTTTGATCTTTGGTTCTGAAATTTTTTTCGCTTCGATAACTGGAATAAAAAAAAAACATTATCAACTAAGAAACTAAAATATTTTTGTAAACAGTTTTTTATATTCTTTGCATTAGGATTTTGTCTAATTGTTACTTTCACTAACACATATATGAAATATACAGTAATCGAATTTATTCAAATGTCAAAGGGTTATAAAAAATATAACATAAGGAATGAATACTGTAAACTCGATTAAAATAGGTCATTTATTTAATTATTGCTATTATATATAAAAATGTGATGATTGTGGGAAAATTAAGATTAAAATAAGTTTACAAACAAGTTCAATTCTTATTCAAATAAATTAAGTTCTGAATAGTATAAAAAAATCAAAAAGTTTAATTTATAAAACAGTAATGATCTTTTCGAAAGAACTACCTAAATATTTTTTTATATATAAATATAAAAACCAGTTACATTTCTTTTCTCTACTCTCCTATTGAAATAAATCCTTTCTCGAAATGAAAACATAACATTTCATTTAACAAAATAATACTTTTTTTAAAATTTTAATTCTATTGTTTTTTCATACTATAAATAAAAAAGAAAGAGGACCATATCATTGGATTTTTTTATTTTTTAAGAAAATATTTTTTTTTTAAATAAGAAGTTAAATAAAAGTGAAATTATATAAAAATACGGCTCCTGCTTGAGTTGAGGCATTAATGAATATATTTTTAATCTATTAATTATTATTTCTCAAAATAAATCTTGCCCGAGTGTAGTCTCTGCTGGCAAATAAAATACACACATTACATATATGATATATACGAACATATATATATATATATATATATATATATATATATATATATATATATATATATATATATATATATATATATAATTTATAAATAATATATAATATAAAAGTTATATTATATCTATGATCAAAATTTGGATTTAATCTAAAACATTTTAAGTAATACAGAAGGAAACTTTTTTATTTTTATTTATTTATTTATTTTAAAACTATAACTAAGCGGTATAGATCTCCACTGACTTTAGAGGCAGTGGTGCGGTTGAGGGAGTAGCGCAAGGATCTCATGGGGTCCTGATTTTTCCTCCATAGTTTGAGGGAAAAGCCTACTTCTTGGTTCCCTTACAAAACTGTAAATAGTACATATAGGTATGGATGCCTTGCTTTTTTAATTTCCTTATCTTTAAGTTATTTTGTTTTTATTTATTGCATTATTATTTAATTGCTATTTTGCATTTATTTATTTTATATTTTTTAACTCATATAGAGTGAATGTGTGTCTTACCTGTCACTATAACCATCGTCCAAGTGACAGATTTTTATACTTCTCAATAAAAAAAAACTTAACGAGGATAGTTCAGGGGTATGTTACAAGTTCAAACATTTCTAATAAAAAGCAGCATTCACCCATAAATAAATTCTTAGCATATCCACACATTTCAGCGGAGCAAAAATGTACGTCAACCGTTATAATTTTGACTTAAACCATTTATAACTCTTAAGGTATATAAACTATCAGATTCATAGTCTTCTTTGACAGACCGACTTACAACTGTAGTCTCTGCTGAAAATTTCACTTAATCGGATAATCTAACAAAAGGTAAGTGAAAATTACTACTCACCTATAACCGTGAGGTTGATTTTCGAGTTTCTTGTAGGAGAATTTCTGAAATCCACCCTGCACCTGTACATCCCTTCGTCAGAGAGCTTGAGGTCGTCCACTCTTAGCTCTGCAACCTCTGTGGCTGTCCTGAAGAATGCTCGCTCGCCGAAGGCGGTTGGGGAAGACCAAAGCTTTGCCTGACCGTACAGGCGCCCGCGGACGTCAAAACTGCAACAGACAAAAATTACATTAAAAATATGAAATAAGGGATAAATAAAATTCTACAAAATAATAGGGTTTTCTAGTCGGAATAAAAGAATATGAAATTCTACTTGGAATAAAAGAAATTCATTTTAATATGACATAAAAGATTTTTTTTATTATTCATATGATATTTACAACTGTATAAAAAAAAAAATTATCTCGTGAATTCTTACATGGATATAATGACATGAAACACATGTTGAGAAACTACCCATTGGTAGCACTCTAATAATATGTCTATATTAGAAGATCACGTGGCCATCTTCTTTTCAGACACCTCGGAGGATTATCAGGAATTGAACAGGAAGCAAGGTTAGAAACAAGAGGGTTGGGATGGTTATGAAATTTATTATGGAAGGATAGATATCTGGATTGGGCCAAATCTGAACATAAGAACATTAAGGTCATTGTGGATAATTTTATTTGTAACAAAGTAAGAAGCATTGAGAATTTTACGAAGGATTTTGGATTGTAAGGATTGGATACGAGAGATTGTAAAATTTGGTTGAACTCCACAGCTCAACTCTGTAAATACAAATAGGCCTTATTATAGTCATGTATATGAGTCTTTTGTTATTAATTGGAAGGTTAGAGTGTTTGTCTAGTAAGTGCTAAAGTAATCGGAAACGTCGAGCGGTTTCTTGTCGTTTAGTCTGGTATGAGGATTCCAAGTTATACGTTTGTCTAGGTGTAGTCCTAGCGGATTTCTTCAACAGGAATAAGTGAGGTGTTGTTACAGGATACTGAAGGACAGGAAGTCATTGGTTTACGACGAAGGGTAAAGGCAATTTGATGGGATTTATTGGAATTTATTTCAATTCTCCAGTTTTGACACAGTTTCCAGTTCCAGTTTCTTCAATTTTTGTGATATGCGATTGAAGGGTTTGATATGCAGTTGATGGGTCGTTATTAACTGATAAGATACATGTGTCATCGGCATATGTGGTGATGATAATGTTGGGATGGGTTGGGATGTCAGCTGTATAGACTGTGAAAATGATAGGACCTAGGATACTACCTTGAGGAACGCCTGCAGACTGGGAAAAGCGGGATGTATAGATATTGTTGTGATTTACTTTAAAGTATCTATCAGTAAGGTAGGAACGGATATTGAGAGAGTATGTAGATGGTAGGAATTTTAGGAGTTTGTACAGCAGTCCCGGGTGCCAAAATTTATCAAACGTCTCTTCAACGTCGAGAAAGATAACCGTACAGTACATACCGCTCTCCAATGCAGAGGATACTACGTCTACCACACGATGACATTGCTGTATAGTGGAATGGGAGGAGCGGAGTCCAAATTGGTGATCTGGGATTATGCGATTATAATTTAGGATGGGGTACAGGCGATTTAAGATTAGTTTTTCCTGGATTTTCCCCATGATGGGTAAAAGAGTGATATGACGGTAAGAGGATGGATATCCTGGTGGCTTTTTGGGTTTGTGAATCATTTTGACAATAGAGTTTTTCTAAGTATCAGGAAAAGGATGGCTTTTCGAGGAAGAAGTTTTAAGATCTGGGATGTTAAACATGTCCTGGTTGGTCATGTCCTTGAGCTTTGCGGGAGGGTAATCTGTGAATGATATTGGATATAAAAGATAACATTGTATTATGTTAGACTGAAGTTCACCCAGAATAAACCATTGGAATAATGATGGTCCAAATTCAGCCAATATTAGTAAGTATGGATAAATATTTTATTTAAATAACCAATCAAATAAATGATAAAAAAAATAATAATGTTTATAGATATTAATTTTTTAATACACTTCCTTCAGTCAAGCATGTGGAATAGAAAGTAGCCTATTTCGTTGGCACTGATCGGAAGTCTAGGTTTGACTTCATATCTATACTACTCCTTTATGACTGGTCCTGAACCAGTGAAGCTGTTGGCCGTACTGCGGTTTTAGGTTATTTAATCGTATCGGAGCGTATTTTTAAGATATCAGTCACCTTGATAAGTTTCATTTCATTTTCCTTTTTTTTTTTTTTTTTTTTATCAGTCAAAAATTAAATGGCAACACCCGGCAATAGTGAAAACATTGCAATCACATGATCATAGTGAAATTGCTGGAAATGAAAACGCAGATTAGCGATAACATGTACTAAAAATATGTAATGCCTTGAATCAACGAAAAACAAATAGCTAAAATGGCAAAATGAATGGTTTGAAATGAGACACGATATACTGCGAATGATGTCACAATATGAGAAACGCTCAAAGGGAATTTCGAAGCTGATACAGAGAGATGAGTTGGTTCTTAGCCGTCTGAGGATAGGCCGTAATCGATTTACCCATGGGCATCTAATAACATGTCTCGGATGTGGGCGTCATTTCACCTTATTGCACATACCCACTAAGTCAGTCTACAGTTCATGAGCAAGAGATACTCAAACATAGTCTTCAAAGTATTCTAACAATCTAACTAATACAAAATATATTAGAATAATATAAATTATTTTTAAATTATTGTAATTTATAACTATATTCATCCAATATAGCGAGTAAATGTGGAGCAAGAGTCTCTTACTTATAATTACTACTAACTATTTTAAGTTAGGAGGTGATGCTTCTTTTCAGAGAGCTTATTTTCAGAGGCCTCGGAAGATGTGGGATAAAATATTACGGACCAGTGCATTAGTATGTGTAAGAAATTTTTGATTGAAGTTTATCTACTTCGTGCCAAATCAGAAACAAACGGAGCATTGAAGAATTATCGAAGTATTTTGGATTGTCAAGATTGGATACAGGAGGAATTTGATTGCTTGATATTTCCAATCCAAATGTCCAAATAAGCCTGATAATAATCATCTAAATGAGCTATTTGTTATAAGTTTGGAACGTTTGTTAAATAGGTTTTATAGTAGTCGGAATCTATGAGCAGTTTCTTAGCGTTCCAATGTAGTGTGAGGAACAAGGTAAAATGTTTGTCGGAAAAGCGTTCTATTCGTAGGTAGCACATCTGTTCAACAGGAAATAGTGGAACATTATTGAAAGATAATGTTGGACAATATGACATGGATTTAAGAGGTAGTGTAAGGGTGACTTATTGTTTCTTGTTAGGTTTTGTTTTGATTACCCAGTTTAGACACCATCCATAGACGGATCTGATGTGTGACTGAATAGTGTAGAATGCAGTAAGTTGATCATTATCAAAAGTTATCATACATGTGTCATCAGCGTAAGTAGTGGGGCAGTAAATACCAATTTTTAGGCAAGTTCTTTTAATTCTTAAAAACATATATAATAAAATATATATAAATCAACTTTGAACAACAGTGTAAATGACCACACAATGAAGTTACCAAATAATCTTGATAGCCAACCTGAGCATATACATGAACACGAAATATGATTTGAATAATTGTAGATTTTAATAGGTTTTCACTAGGCAAGGTGCCCTATGACTAGCGAGAAATTTTATAGAAGTGATAACATACCTCAAGAGCTAAAAAAAGTTTATATAAACAATGGACCAATGTTCTGCAGAAAAGTAGAAAATCCAAGCTTTGTGTTTTTTTTTAAACAAATCGTGTTTATTTTTTTTGTTAAACAGTTAGCGATAACTAAAAAAATATTTAATATAAGTAATTGATCCGTTATTGTGAGTGAAAAACAAAATGTTTTTAGTCATAAAATTAAACTTTTAGTGAAAATAATTGAATCAATCAACACGTTTATCAATTTTAAATGAAAATTTGATATTTCTGTACAATAAAGATCTGAGTGAAAAACACAGTTTCATAACCACTTCACCAGAAAAATAGTTTAGACATAATATTAAAAAAAAAAAAAAAGTGTATATAGACAATTATTTATATTATAATTTATTCTTCATCATGGAAAAACATGAAATACAAGTTTAGCAACAATTTATTGTAGTCATTTTTGCTGAAAACACGGGTATTTTTAGGGGAACGGATAATAAACTTCACAATTTTTTTACACAACTTGAGGTGAATCTTGACCACCCTCCCCAAAAATCTCCACTTAATTAATATGGACTTAAAACTAATTAAAGGAGGAAGTTTTTTTTTCTAAAAGTGGGGTATCTGTAGTATAGTGGGATGATGATCAAAATAAAAAAAAAATTTCAAATAATTTATGAATTTTTTTAAAAAACAGAACTTAGTTCAGTTTAGCTGCTCATTTGCTTAAAAAAGCTCAAAACTTGGATTTTACACTTTTCAGCTGAAAATTGACCCATAGTTTATATGAACTTTTTTATAGCTCTTGTAGTCCGCTATCATTCCTATAAAAATGTATCTCTACTTACAGGATACCCTATATAATCTATTCGATAAACAATGCAATTCTTTTTTGAGGGACTGTACTGAACGAACTGGTAAACTAGTTGCAGATCAAACCGGGATTGGGAATAGTGCAATCGAGGGGAAATGACCACAAATTGAACTTGTAACCAATGGCTTTCACAGTTATCGACGCGAGGGAGGGTTCTATTGCGATAATGAGAGGGTGCTGCTGGTGCAAGAGCTTTACTCACCAAAGGGATCCTTCATTAGCCTCGGATTTGGGCCTTTTGTTCTAAAACCTCGCCTCATCAGCCACCCGACTACGTTTGTACCCGTTTGTTGCAGGGCGTGTATATGTATTAGTGCATTTGGCATGGCAGAGGGAACGGGTTATTCGCAAGAAATATCATCAGAAATATCAGTTGTAAACACAGTCCAATGAACGATTACGACTCATCAATATGTAATACTATTTTCTTTTAATAGCCTATACGATGGGTTGAATATAAGAAATTCTTTATATTATTATATTAAGTATATATATATTGGAATACAACGGTATTGTTCACCAGCTGTATATAGATTTTAAAAAGACTTACGATTCTATTGACCGCCAGAAACTGTATAATATTCTAATCGAGCAGGGGATTCCAAAAAAACTAGTAAATCTAGTGAGGATGTGCATGACGGAGACACTCAATAAAGTTAGA